TGTGGTGGCTGGGGGTGTGTGAGCGAGCAGCCGTGCTCCTGGTTTCCACACAGACCAGTGCTGCTCCTAATCCCAGCAGCGGGTTCGGCCGCTGTGGACGGGGAGTCCAGGTCGTGCTGCGCTGATGCTGACCTCTCCCTGCCCCTCCCTCTGTGTCCCAGCTCCGCTGCGCCCAGTCTTCCCACAGTCCTGCCCGCACGCCTCTCTGCCCCGCGCACCCCCACGATGGGCAACGTCTTCGCCGCCGGGGCCCCCTCCGCGCCCCCTCCCCCCGCCAGCAGCACCCCCGCCGGGCCGGGCCTGATGTCGGTGCCCCCAGGCTTCACCATGCCACCCATGTCCTCGCTGGGCCCCGCCGCCACCGCCGACCAGCAGGGCGGCGACAGAGAGGGAGCCCTCTCCAACCCGGGCACCTTCGAGGAGTGCCATCGCAAGTGCAAAGGTGGGGGTGTCTTTTTCCTGGGGCGGCGGGGGTTGTGAAACTGGGGGTTGGTGAGAAAAATGGGGTATGAATTTGGAGGAGTCCTTGGGCTTCTCTGGGGGTCGGGGGGGGTCGCTGGGCGAGGGTGTTGACTGCTGTGCAGTTTGGGGGCGTCACTGAGGAGGTATGAACGTGGGGATCACTGCTGCGTGTTGTGGGGCTGAGGTATTAAGGAATTTATGATTTTGGGGTCACTGACTGGGTCGGGGGGAACCAGGAAGGGTAACTTGAGGTTCTTGATGTTGCTCAATCACTCTGTCCTGTCCCCCCTGTCCCCCCGTCCCCCCTGCTCTCCTGTCCCTAGAGATCTTCCCAGTGCAGATGGAAGGAGTGAAGCTAATAGTCAATAAAGGACTGAGCAATCACTTCCAGGTCAGTGAAGGTCAACACACTTCTTTTCAAAGAGCCCTGTGTACCATGTGTACTAACTCCCAGTGTAACTGGACTGGGACTGTAGCTCCTAGTGTAACAGACTGGTCTACTGGACTGGGACTGTAGCTCCTAGTGTAACAGACTGTTCTACTGGACTGGGACTGTAGCTCCTAGTGTAACAGACTGGTCTACTGGACTGGGACTGTAGCTCCTAGTGTAACAGACTGGTCTACTGGACTGGACTGTAGCTCCTAGTGTAACAGGACTGTTCTACTGGACTGGGACTGTAGCTCCTAATGTAACTGGATTGTTCTACTATACTGGTCATTTTGCAGGTGAACCACACAGTAGCTCTGAGCACGATGGGAGATTCCAGTTACCGGTTCGGTGCCACTTACGTCGGAACCAAGCAGACCGGACCTGCTGAGGTACTGAGCGGGCAGTTTGGATGAAACGTGTGACCTGCTCCAGGCGAGCTCGCACCCTGACCGCTGTCCCCTGTCTCCCAGGCCTTCCCTGTGATGGTGGGCGACATGGACAACAGCGGCAGCCTGAACGCACAGGTCATCCACCAGCTGACCAGCAGAGTCCGGTCCAAACTGGCCTTCCAGGTGTGCGCCCGTTCGGGGGAAATTTAAGGGGTACTGGCTGTGTTGAGCTGTATCACGTGTGTGTTTGGTGTTGAAGGGGTTGGGCTGTGTTGAGCTGTATCACGTGTGTGTTTGGTGTTGAAGGGGTTGG